CGCAAGGAGTTCACCAGGGCAGGCTCCCTGAGTGCAAAATGCTTTTTGCTTCCACGTCTCCACTCAGCACAAGGGGCTCCCCGCAGTCTGCAGCACAGCCGCTGTTTTTCTCAACTCTTCCCAACAGGGGAGGCTGGCAGCATGGAAGAGATGGGTGCTGCCACTACAAGGCCCGTGGAAGTCGGAGGCTCACGGCCATATTAGAGATTGCATTTCAGCAGTTCTAAACGACCCTCTCTTTACAGAGCTCCTGTGGCTTTTCTGCGGCAGACTTGCATCAGCAGCCGCCTTCCATTTAGGAACAATTTGCTCATAAAAACACAAGAAGGCTCTTCTTACAGGAGAGTGATGGTCTTGATATCATCATCCAACAGCCCAAACACTGGTCTTGTGACCTCCTCTGTGCATTTTCTAGAGATGGAAACATGGGCTGCTCCCAGGGGACTTGGGATGCTATACTCATTCCTCCCACCACTGCTCAAAATCTGCCATCGAAACACTCTGGAGTCATGCTCACCAGTAGCCTGGAAGATTCATGCCAATCCCCCAGCCTGGCTGTCAGGGAAAACTGTGCTGCGCTTCACAAGAAAAACAGCCCCAAGGACACATATGATCAGGCTGCAGCTGAGCTATAAAGCAGGAGTCAGCCCCAAGCGCAGCACAGCCTTGCGCAGGGTGGACCATGCCTCCCTGTGCTGCAGAGCTGATGGCTGTGCCTTTGTTTACCTCCCCTCCCCACCCCTTTGGGCAACACCACATCAGTGAAACATTTTGAATTGCAGACCAAGTTCCAGCAGGAGTTTCAGCTCGCACAGCAGGATGGGAGGCAGCTGGCAATGGCTAGTGCAGCCAAGGTCTTTGTTTGCTAGCTAGTCTCGTCCCCCAAAGACATCAGGAGCCACTGACCTACTGCCTGTAAACAAAGGCCTTTCAGAGTCAGGAAGCTCCTACCCAGCTGGTGACAAGTAGACTCTACAGTTCCCACTAGCAGGCAGCTACCACCCTTCGGCTCTCTTCTGAGCTCCCAGCCGCCACAAGAAGACGGCTGTCACCTCCTGCAGTCCTCCCCCTTCCAAGAGCCAAGACTTGAAATGAGCCCGTACCTTCTCCATCTGACAGGTAGTTGTACCAGAAGACAGCAGTGCCTTGCTGAGGTTTCACTCGCAAATTGCCCTTGTCGCAGTTTTTCCGAGTATCTCGCAGGTCAACATCGTTCTGGATCAAAGACTGGCAAGAAACCACACAGAAGGTGTTGCAAACGGGGCTGGAACGAAGCGCATGCACTGGGCTGCATCTGCTTCCAGCTGTCATCCTGCCCTTTGCTTGAACGCCCCACAGGGACAGCTCAAGGCTGACGCTGGGCAGGACAGGGCTTTCACAACCCATCTGGAGCAGCCAATTTCAGTCCTCTGGAGGTCCATAACCTGTTTCTGAGCAGCCACCCATTCCTTAACGCATTGCCTGACAGGAGCACAACATATCTGCCAAGACTTAGTGTGAGGAAACCTGCCCAGACAGAAGCCAGCAGGACCCATGTTATGGCAGCAAGGCCAACAGACCGCCCCTCGCGTCTCTGAGCGGGGAGAGCTGCAGCTGCCAAAGCCCTGTGCCTCTTCCCTTGGCCTCAGAGGGAAAAGGTCGTAAGCGGAGTACAGCTTCCCCACACTTTAGCTATGAAGGGTAACGTCCACCAACCTCACCCACTGGACCCCTCCTGCAGCCACAGCGAATAAAGACATTCAAAGAGGGACTCAAAATCCTCAGGGGTAACACGTAGGCAAAAATCACTTACCATCTCTTCGTACGTCCTGTTATCAGCTATAGGAAAGACTGTTTCACCTCCCCCAGTCACATTGTTCAGGTAGAACAGCACCGTCACATACCTGCAAGACAGAGTGGCTGTCAGGGGACACAACTGGAAGAGGAGGAGACGCACAGGGGCTCTGTCCGTACCCTGCCCCTCCACCATACATACAGCAGTTCCTCCAAGACATCACAAGATACATGATTTACATCATCAGCTTTTCTCCCAGGACAAGAGAAGGACAACAAAGAAAATCCCCACCCGCAACGGTGAGGGTGCGTTTCTAGCTTCTGGTGAGGGTGGCCCAGCA